ATAAAACATTAATTATATATTTTTTAATTCTTAAAGATGTGAAGAGAATAGAATGGAAGTTTTTCACAAAGGTGCTGGTAAGCACAATAAATTTGAGTGTTAAAATCTTAGAATTAGTCATGCTCACACAGGGTCCCTTTCGTAGATGCCAGCCATTTACTTAGGTACTTGAGCAGGCATGCCGATGTCTTAGTGCCTGTGGATGTAAATGAGCTCGGAGAGCTTCATTGTCAGGTCTGGACCCAGACCTTCTGCCTGGCCAGCCCCTCCAGTGTTCTCCCTTTCTTCGATGGATATTTAAACCATCAGAATTAAAACCCTGAATAGCCGGGCGTGGTGGTACAACCCTGTGATCCCAGCACTTGGGAGGCTGAGGCAGGAGGATCGCTGTGAGTTCGAGACCAGCCTGGGCTACATACATAGTAAGTTCCAGGTCAGTCTCAACTACATAGTGATACCCTGTCTCAAAAAACCAAAACAAAGAAAAAGAATTAAAACCCTGAAAACTCTGAGCCACCTGAAATTCAGAAGGTTTAGGAAAATGTCTGTTAAGATGCTCAGTCTCAGAATAAATTATTGCACAGAATGCTTAATTGCTTTGACCTTTGCATTCTCATTATAATCTGCTACTTTCTCTTTCATTGCTAGCATTAGTTTTAGCATGTGTGGCATACATATGGTTCTGCAAGGAATAGAACCTAAATGTTGGGATATTGAATTGCCTCATGGATGATGACCTCTTCCTCCTGTTTCCATACATACTTGCCCCCTCAAACTAGAAACTTCCCTGATCTTTTTTATGCTTTTGGTTAAACAGATAAAATAGGGGCCAGGGATTTAGCTCAGTGATACCGCACCTCCCTCATAAGCACAAGTTTCTGAGTTTGATACCAAAGAAAAGAGAGAGAAAAACAGATATACAGTACCTTTCAGGTTTGGGGTTGTTGTTGTTGTTGTTCTTGTTTTCTTTTCTTTTCTTTCTTTTTTTTTTTAAACAGGGTCTTGCTATGTATTTCAGGCTGGCCTTGAACTCCGCTGTGTAGACAAGGATGGCCTGGAACTCAGCTTCAGCCTCCTGAGTGCTGGGATTACAGGCCTGTGCCACCATGCCCAGCTTCACTTGTCATTCACAAGTGATCATAATGGCCTATTTGGTGCCCTCAAAAGTTTCTTTTCAGGCCAGGAATTTAGCTCAGAGGTTCCAATGCCTGCCTTGTAAGCACAAGGACCCAAGTTTGATCCCAGTACCAAAATAAAAGTTTCTTTTCCCTTGATAGGAATAAAGGATTAGGTACAGAAACATAGGTGATAAATGGATTAGTAATTCCTATAGTGTGCAGTGTTTTTACAATTAAAACATTATTAAACCATCTGACAAATTTGTAATATTAAAAATGTTGTTTAAAAGACTACTACCTATCCTGTCTGCCTAGATATTATACTGTTTTCATTTTTTGCATATTTCCCCTGTTTATATACAACCATACTGCATACTTATAACCATTTTATCCATATGATTTAGAACTCTAGAGCAGAGGGAACGTATTTTCATTTCATAATATATAGTAAATATAACTCCTTTATTAATCAACTTTTTGACTAAAGGTGTGATAACTGGAGAAGACAGATTAGTCTTTCAATGTGATTATTTTGTAGTTACACCTCTCCTTTAAACTAAAACATTTGGGCTGGGGATGTAGCTCAGTGGCGCTGCACCCAGCACAAGGTCCTGAGTTCAATTCTAGTACCAGAAAACGAATTTTAAAATTTAAAAATGAGCCAGGGATTTAGCTCAGTGGTTCAGTGGCCTGCCTTGCAAGCTTAAGGACCCGAGTTCAATCCCTGGTACCAAAAAAAAAAAAAAAAAAAAAAAAATTAAAAATAAACTAAATACAGTATTGGATACTTAACAATAAATATAAAATTTTTGAAGATCACCATACTACACTATTTCTCTTTTTTTTAATTCTCCTCTGGGCCATTCATATTTATATATTTTTTAATCCAATTTTCCAAAATGATAATACCCGTGGAAGTGTTGGGAATCCTCAAAGAAGGTTCACATCCCCTTCTTACTTTTTGCTATAGTACTATCCTTCCTTGAAGCCTTGCGGGTATTAATAATAACTGAATATTGATAATAACAGGGTTATGATTACTCAGGAACTAAATTAGAATCCACACAATAAATAAATCTCACAGATACCTGACAGTTGTACCTTTCCCTCGTTTAATCTATACCTGAAGCAAAGCCTCAGTGAATAATGTAGTCTACCCTCAGGGATACCCATGACCCATACCTGTATTTTGCTGCTGAACCCCTGTGTATAAATGTCAGTGTTGTGGCATACTCCAGAAATCCTGGCACTCTGGGAGTCAGAGGCAAGAGGGACACAAGTTCAAGCCCAGCCTAAGCAATTTGAGACCCTGTCTCAAAATTTTATAAAAGGACTGGGGATGTAGCTCAGTGCAAAGGCCCTCGGTTCTATCCCCAGTACTGGAAAAAGAAAAAGAAAAACCCTTCATAAAATACTGTGATACCTATGATCTTGCCCTAGAGGCAGATACAGTGTAACAATAGAAGTAGCCATAGTGTATGAGTTCCTTTGTAAAAGAGATCCTAAGATGTTTATTAATTATAATTATTAAAGGTACCAAGGTTTGTACAATACACATACCTTTCCTCCCTGTCTCTCTTTATCTCCTCTCCTCCTTTTCTTTTATAGTACTATGTGGATTGAATCCAGGTCCTTTACACTGAGTTATACCTAGTCCTTTTTTATTCTGCGACAGAGTCTTGCTAAATCACTAAATTTCTCCAGTGAGCTGAAACTTTCAATCTTCCTCACTCAGCCACCAAGAGTACTGGGATTACAGGCATGTACCACAATGTTCAGGCCAAAATGTACTTTTGAGTAGGAGCGTTTGAGAATGACAGCTAGCCTTGGAAATTACCCCTGAGTCAGGTAGAGGTTATCATAGTATGTTAATCAGCTTTTTTATTATCTTTACAAAATACTTGAGATAATTGCCTGGGCCTGTAGCAAGGCAGCATATAGGGGAACAGCCAACGGCTCACCTCATAGGACCAGGAAGCAAAGACAGGGAGAAGGGATAAGGATCCCAGTTTTCCCTTCAAAAGCACCTCATCCCCATGCATTCTAACTTCCTCGAACTAGATCTCATCTCTTAAAGTTCTATATCCTAATAGCCCCATGGGCTGGGGAACCAAGCCTACGTACAACACACGAACCTTTGGAGACATTTACAGTCTAAACACATTTGTCATGTATGTGGCAGCAGGTAAGAAACAAGAATTGCTGAGAAGGTCCGGGGTGTACCTCAATGGTAGAGTGCTTGCACAACATGTATAACACCCGTGGCTCAGTCCCCAGTGAGAGACTGAAAAAGAGAGGGAGGCTGAGACTGAGAAAGGACACAAAGATGAGGTGAAGAAGTGACAGTTCTGAGAAGACAAGGCATCTGCTTCATATGAGCACTGGTTACTTACTGTGTCTCCTGAAGTATCCTGGCAGCCATCTGTTTCTTGAGTAAATGGTAGCCGATAAAGAGGAAGCAAATATAACAAAGTAAACTGTGTCAAGAATTTTTTTTCTGGTACCAGAAATCAGAATTTTTTTACATTTGTGAAATCCACTTATTTTTAGAGAGAAATAGGCCCACCCTTTAATAATACCTTTTTACAGTTCCAAAAGCTGCTAGAAGTACACAGCACAAGTACAGTATGGAAATAGCATTTAGTTTTGACATAATACAGTATGCTATCAGTAAACCATAGTATTAAGTCAAGACTTGTGAATCAAGGCCTTTTTTTTCAGGGTAACATACTGTTCAAGTTAGCAGGAACCCCCAATTGTTTGTAACACCTTTGGCTTTGAAGTTTAGAGTTGAACCATTATAGATGAGTTTCTATAGTAATATTATAACTAGAGGCAATCACAAATTGACATGTATCAAAAGATAATGAGTATAAAAAGCCTTCAGAAGAATATTTTTAATCTGGCTATAAATGAATCATCTATATGCTATGCAAATTTAAAATGAGTAAATTTAGAAACTACTTTTTCTCTTTTTATAAAGCTTTAGTTTGGGGGGAAATGTAGATACATCTGGAAAATTCAGAAAATGTCCCTTTCAAAGGTCAATGATGAAAATCACTGAACTTTCTGCAGTAAGATAAATGTTCTCTATCAGTAATGCTCAGCACTGGATCCATTAGCGACATGTAGCTGTGGGCATTTGGGATGTGGTTAGTGCAATTAAGAAAATGAATTTTTATTTTAATTACTTTACATTTAAATATCTATCTGTGCCTAGTATCTACTACATTATTAAGGCAAAATAACTTAAAATTTTATAGTAGTAAACATGTCTTAGCCAGTAGTGAATTCATTCACAGTATTGCAATATCACTTAGCCAAAGTTTTTTGGCTGTAATTTTTCTATCATGTTTTAGGTAGAGCTTTTATCACATTTGACTTAGCTTAGCTTTAGAAGAGTGTCTTTACTCTGAACAGTTTTCCTAAAATCATAAACTCTAAGCTCCAAGGTGCTCATGTGGTTATCACTAGTCCAGGATACTGAATCAAGACTTAAAATTATGGAAACTAATTTTCTCTGAGGGTGATTTCATCATACTTTTTTACATTTTAAAATTAAATACAATGCTGAAATATTTGGGATGAAATGTACTGTTTACAACTTACCTTGAAATGAATAAAAAATTAAAATGTATCGATGGATGGATACATAGTAGATATGAGGCAGACATAGCAAAATGTAAATAATATCATGCTCACTGTACAAATCTTTTCACTTTTCTGAAAGTTTTGTAATAAAATATTGAGGGATGTTACTAATGTAACAAAATATTGCCTGGTTTCATAATAAAGAGTTTTCATATTTTAAATGTTAAATTAAGCATATTGAATACTTTGAAGTTTGATTTTTCTTGAATTTACCACTTCTCTATTAAATAGAGCCAAGGAGCAATAACTGAACGTTTAAGAAGTTTCAGTATGCACGACTTAACAGCTATCCAAGGTGATGAGCCTGTGGGACAAAGACCATATCAGCCTTTACCAGAAGCAAAAAAGAAAAGCAAGCCAGCCCCCAGTGAATCAGCAGGTGTGCTTATTTGTTTTAATATATGGTCCTTTCATAATTGGGCTTGTGGGTCAGGATGGGTACAAAAATTACACACATTAACGCTTTGAAGTTTGATAGGTAAATTTACTTTTAAGCTTATATTTTTGAGTTTTATATTTTACTGTAGCTTATTTTCTCCAAAGTTAGTATTTGCCTTTTGCTGACCATGGAAGTCATCTAGCTAAGATAGTAGTAGCAGTAGCCTCTTCTGCTGCCAAGAATTGTTAGAAGCTGTAGGTGTGGTTACTTCCTGACCACCAGGCTCAGTTCTGACCTGTGATCCATACTCTTTCTACTCAAATGATATAGAAAGTAAGGAGTTTTATAGTTAACCACTCTTTCTCTAAGCACTGTGGACAAGTAAGGATATTGACTCACAAGAGAAAAACGTTTAAGCAAATGACAAAAGATGATTCAGTTTGAAAGTGGGACTATTTCCCACGAGTGGAAAATGTGTTGAAATTACACATTCTACTTTACAAACTAACTTCTAGTCATGTTCTGTATAAATTATGACCATGTCACTGTTGCTATATTTAATGCACTATTGTGATCTTAAAAGCATACACATAAATAAGACATAGTTCCTTCATCATTTTATCACGTATAATAGAAGTTTTAGTTCAAGGTAAGGCTGATACCTAAGATCTTCAGGAAATTTCCAATTAATGTGTTAATCCATATGTAAAAAATTTAATCTTTTAAAAAGTGATTTTCTTTTGAAGGAGATTGAGAATTGTTCTTTATAATTAAAGTAAAACAAAAAAAAAATCCTTCCATACAAAGGAAAAACAATGTGTACTTTCTTTCAACTTTTCTAAGAATGAATAACTTTGCAAAGTTGGTAGCTATTATCTAAAAGACAGTAATCAAGCACTGGCCATTGATTAAGTAGTAATTTGTTTCAGAATGAACAACGGCTTATGGTGCACACCTATGATCCCAGCACTCTAGGAAACTGAGGCAGAGGATCATAAGTTTGAGCTCAACCTGGGCAGCTTAGCAAGACTCTGTCTCAAAAATTTAAAAATTTTAAAGAACTAGGCAGGTAGCTGAGTGCCCCCCCCACAAAAGAAATAGTAATAAAAACCATTGAACTTTGAGCCATTGCCTTCATTAATATGTTAGTAATATAAAAGTAGTCCTAGAGGGGTTTGTTTATTGGTACTGGCAGTCGAACTCGGTTCCTTGTGCTTGTGAGGCAGGCCACAGAACCACTGACCTAAATCCATGGCCATAGACTTTTTTAATTAGACATTTGATGTTAGTTATACTGATTTTGATTTTCTGTATATATTATATTTTTGCAGATTTAGAACAGATATTTAAATTCTTTATCAGTAATTTTAAATTATATTTTAGAATTAGAATTGGTTAAGAGTTATGTTCCAGGCCTGGGGATTTATTTAACTCAGTGGTTCCACCACCTGCCTCACAAGCTCAAGGACCTGAGTTCATGCTCCCTGGTACCAAAAAAAAAAAAAAGAGTTATGTTCCAATTACCTAAATAAAAACAGCATTATAAATATGAAAATCCATAACATTTTATGATATTCATCTTTTATTATAACATTTTAAGATACTGAGGTACTATTTAGTCCTTTTGTTAAATTTCAAAGCAAACATTTGAAATAACAAGATTTATAAAAAATAAACATTAGAATAATTGCTAGAATCAGAAGTTGGAGTAGAAGCCGGACATAGTGGCTCATGCCTATAATTCCAGCACTAGGGAAGCTGAGGCAGAAGGATTGCTGTGAGTTCAAGACCAGCCTGGGCTACATAGTGAATTCCAAATCAGTCTCAACTATATATAGTGAGACCCTGTCTCAAAAAATCGGGGAAAAAAAAAAGTTGGAGTAGAAAATGAAGCTTATACCTTTACCTCAAACCTTTAATCAAAATAAATTCTTAAAGCATTAACATTTGAATTTAAGAAACCATCCAGCAGGAATTCTTATGTATATTTTTATTCTCTCAGGATAAACTTTCTTAAACCTGACATCAAAGTCAGAAAACATAACAAAAGTTTGAAAAATTTTTCTACATTAAAAAAGAAAAGTTAAACTGCCCTACAGGGGTTAAAAATCACAGTATAAAAAAGACAAATTACAAGCTATCATAAATCTTCCTGTTATATATTTTACAGGCCAGTGGTTCAGATTTTCAATAATCTGGAAATGCTTACAAAACAATTATTGTCAATTCTAATAGTAGTATATGAAAAAGATCTTCAGCTTCAAATAGTGAAGAAATAGTAAATTTAAATAGTAATAATTTTATGAAATTCAAAGAAAAGTTTTTAATCCGTAGTGTTCTGTGTTGGTAACTGTTCCATTTATGCGTGCATCTGTTGCTGCATAACAAACCGGCCCAAACCATGGTGTAAGACCATGACAGTCGCTTACCTTGCTCACACATGAGAGGTGTGAGTGGATTCAGCAAGGCAGCTCTGCTGCTGCGGTCAGGCTGCATCTGGGGCTGCAGCCATAATCTCAAAGGAGACCTCACAAATGACCTGTCTGGGAAGAGCCAAACAGCCCATGGCCATAATGGCTGGGCCTCTGACGTGTGTCTCTGTGTGGTCTCTGTGTGGTCTCTGCATGGTCTCAGAAGGAAGTTGGACTTCACTGGCTGCTAAAGGCTCCCAGAGCCAGTGTCCATGAGAAATAAGCAAAAATCCTATGGTAGCATTTCTGCCACATTTTTGGCAGTACTTTGTTATTGCAGGTACAAAGGCCTGTGAGATTTAAGGGACGAGAAAAAGAATGTCAGAGAATTCATGCACATGTTTTAAAACCACGATAGCAAACATTAAGAAACACATCCATGCACATTTTATGAGTTTAAAATAACCTTTCTGATGATAATCTGGCATTAATCAAAATGTATTTCCTTTAACTCAGCAAGAAACTTCTAGTACGTCATAAGGAAATAATCAGGCAAGTGTTCAAAGATATACACACACACAAATACACACACACACACACACACACACACACACATACATATACACATCCATCCATCCAAGAGTGTTCATCTTGGGTTGGGCATGCAGCTCAGCAGTAGAACACTTGCCTAGCATGAGTTCAATCCCCAGCATTGAATGAGAAGTTCATCTCATTTATAATTACTAATACTAGATCAAATCAAATGCCTAAGAAATTATGCAAAAACATGGTTTATTAGCATGAAAAATGTCAGTATATACAATACTTACTACTTTAAAAAACATATCCAGGTGTAGGGGAAAAACAATAGAATAGTACTTGCATTATGTTCCTTTCCTGTAGGTAATGAAACAATTCCATGTGTGTAAAGAGTTTTTTTCTTGTTTTAGTTTTTGGGGACAAGATCTCACCATTTATTTCAGGCTGGCCTCAAACTCACCCAGATCCTCCTCCCTCAGCCTCCTGAGTGTTAAATTATTTTTTAAGTCTATATACATACCAGGAAAGTGTGGAATGAAATGGCTAAAATATTAGCAGCATTTAGTTCTTAACTGGCCGGGGATTTAACTCAGTGGTGCCACTGCCTACCTCATAAGCACAAGGTCCTGAGTTCGATCCCTGGTACAATAAAAGAGGGAGAGGGAGATGCAGAGGGAGACAGAGAGAGAAGAGAGAAGAAAGGGAGAGGGCAGGGGAGAGAGAGAGGGAAAGAGAGAGAGAGAAGAAAGAGAGAAAGAAAGCAAGCTCTTAGCTGGGCATGACAGTACTCTCCTGTAATCCCAGCACTAAGGGAGGCTGAGGCAGGAGGGTTGCAAGTTTGGGCCCAGCCTGGGCAACTTAGCCATTAAGGAAATCCTGTCTCAAAAAACAAAAAGTAAAGCCAAACATGGTGGCACATTCCCATAATCCCAGAATTCAGAAGGCTAAGGCAGGAGGATCCTACAAATTTGAGGTCAGCAAATTTTAGCTCAGTGCAAAGGCCCTCTTACTGCAATACTTAGTACTGGGAAGAAATCTTTTACAGAACTGCAATCTAATCTTGTTACCTTTTTGCTTAAAATACTCCAATGCCCTCCCCACCATTTATCCCAGAAGTTTAAATTCAGTAGTTCTCCAGCTTTGCTCTCCCACTGCATCGTGTCCCCCTATATGGAATCCTGAGCCTTTCAGGTTTTGGCATAAGGACAGTCCCTCGTACATGGCTTTTTCTCTACCCCATCCCCACCCCAAGTTGAGTTCAGTTGCATACTGTAACCCAGATGCTCCCTTAGCACCTTCTTCTTCCTTATCTCCTATTTATAGCAGTATATACTGCCCATTAGTCTTTCCTCTGGTGGTCTATAAATTTCTAGAGGGTAGAAAAAGCCATTTCCTTTCCACGTGAAATGAGAGGCAGTTAAAATAGCAAGGACTGTATTTATTGAGCAGTAGTGTTGTGCTACCTACACTTGGGGCCTTAGAGAACTTTTTGATCACAGTTGACAGTTGCTTCATTTGTGACTCTTGATTCCTCATTCTGTGTTTTGTCACATTGGGATCAAGAATTTTTACGAAAGCAGCAGCAGTAAAAAGAACAATCTTTGCTAGGGATATAGTTACCTATCTGGCATATGCAAGGCTTTGCACTCAATCCCCAGCTCTACAAAAATAAAAGAAGAAAGAAAAACTTCAAGGGCTGGGGATTTGGCTCAGTGGTTCCACCTCCTGCTTCGCAAGCGCAAGGGCCCCAGTTCAATTCCCGGTACCAAAAAATAATAATGATAATTTCAAAAAAGAAAACTAATCTGAAAATGGCAACCTAAAAACAATTTTTTATTATCCTCAATTATAGAATTACAGTTTTTAAATATTTGGCAAATTCGGAAAGGAAAAAGATTTTTGAATTACCTAAAAGCCCATTCCCACAAGATACATTGGTTTTATTTTTTATGTTTTTCCTTTGTTTGCTTCTTAATGTACATTTTTTTCCCACTTAGTACTGCACCGGGTCATTCTCTGAGGACTGACCCCATGCCCTGTCGTGGCCTCTGTGTTTCTTCCAAGCAGACTTGCTCCTCTGTTGCCCTGGCCCTCCCAGAACACACTCTTTTGATTCAGTAAAACACAGATCTTGGCCTAAAGGATGACTGATTGTACTTCAAAATCCTTTTTAATTTCTAGCCTAAAATTCTGGCAGCATAAAACTATACTTGTCTAAGATACAATTAAAATTGTTTATATTATTATGAGAGTAAGCAGCTTATTAACAACTCTTCGTGGTTTGCCTAGTGAGTCTCAGAATTTTCATGCGCTGGGAGAGCATACTAATGAACATTTATTCCGTGTATTTTTCTTTATATGCAAGGAGGCTTCTGTCCCTTACCTCCTCCTGAGCCTGGAAACCTTTCCTCCTCCTCATGGGATAGTTTTTTTTCAGGCTCATGTCATGATTTAAATATGTATGCCTCTTACCTTTATTAAAGGACTATTTGAAAGTTCATCTGGCCTTGTAACCTCATCCCTGTCTTTATAACTAACCTACCCAAGTAGTACTCTGGCAGCCTTAGAATTGTCACCATCTTATTCTTCCTAAGAGCTTTAGGCCCTGGCTTTTAAAGTGGGAGCCATTACCATAAACATCACCTGGGGATTTTTTAGAGATGCACATTTCAGCCCACCCCAGCCCTGCTGACTCACAAGCTCTCAGGGTGGAGCCCAGCAATCTGTGCATGGGTGGACAAATTCTCTTAGTAGTAAATCTAGCAAGTAGTTTGAGAACCTCTGCTGCAGGGATGGGAGAGTTCCTATCCCTGAATTCCAACCTCAGAGTCCTCTCCTTCTTTACCGGACTGACTGCCTGGATGTTTGCATATCAGCCAGTTTTTATAGGTACCCATAACAGCCTGTTAGCACACGCACATGATCTCTTCTTGTTGACCTTCCTGATGCTGCCTGTCTTCCCTGACTAACATCTGTCATCATAGCCTGTGATGTTTTCAGTTAGGGTTGCCTGCCTGGCTGGTTTTTATCTCAGCTGCTGCAGCAGAGTCAGTGTAACATCCCCATTTCTTGCCCCCAGTGAACTTACATTGTCCAGAGTTGTAGCCCCTTTGCAGCTTCTTTGGTTCACTGTGCCACTCCCAGTCTTATGAGATAGGTTGCAGGGACCTTCCTAATTAAAGTCAAAAGCACAGATGACAGGCTGAAACACCCTAAGCTTGGGTTGTTTAGAATTCATGAGGAGGAAGGATGAGAAAAGACTACAGTGTATCTATCTAGTTATGTTCACTGATTTTTTAACAGGATCAATGTATTACCTCCTAAGAATTGTTTTTAAAAATGCATAGTATTCGATCCCCGGTACCAAAAAAAGTGCATAGTAAAAATAAGAACAGCCAGGGAGAACTTCCTGGAGAAAATGAATTATGATCTTTATCTAGAATAGTACAAGGAACAGAGATTAATGACTGGGCAGGCAGCACATTCCTATCAGAGGAGAGAGCAGTCACCAGGCAAATGCAAAACATGCAGAGGACTGCAGACAGGCGGGTGAAGAGCTGGTGCTGGCTGGTGTCCTTTTACCAAAGCATGCTGTTTTTGACAACTTGCTTAGCTTATGGAATTCCACTGAAAGATGGAGATGAGAAAACAGATGAAGAAGTGGATGGGCCAAATTCAGATGATGAGATGTTAACACACAAAGGACTTCGCCGATCACAAAGCATGAAATCTGTGAAAACCGTCAAAGGCCGCAAGGAGGTTAGTCAAGAAGAGAGGTGTTTTCCTAATGATTAGTATTCAGGGATTTCCCTGGTGCATTATCATTTAGGGTAATGATCCATAAATGACAGATTGGAATTGGAGAGGAGTATTTACATTTAAAAGTCTTCATTCAGATTAGATATATTAAGATACCTGGAAAAGAATTTTTTCTGGAAATTTATAACGTCAAATTCCTAGTCTTGCACTGTTTAGTGAAAATGGCATTCCCACATAGCAAGTCACACAGTTACCATGAATACCCAAGCTCTATGCATAAACAAGGAAAGCTAAGCGTTACATAGTTTTGCTTTCAAATAACCCTACATAATAATTAAATAAAGGTTTATCCACAAATAATCATAGTTAATATTTTGTTAGTGTTAATCTGCTGTATATATTCAACATATTACCAACTACATTTTTGGGGGGTACCAGGGATCAAACTCGGGACCTTGTGCTTACAAGGCAGGTGCAGAGCCACTGAGCTAAATCCCCAGCCCTACCAATGAATATGCACACAGTGCTTTTTTATATATGCTTACAAGATAATTCTTTGTATTGGAAAGATTAGAAAATTATAATTATGAATCATTAAATCCTATCTTATTTTAAAAAGTAATCAGTCTGATTCTTAATAACATTACATTTTTCTCTCCAGGTGCGGTATGGTTCACTAAAATATAAGGTGAAGAAGAGACCACAGGTGTATTTTTAGTCATCTAAGTTCAAGTATTCCAAGACAAATATACTAATAAGCCAACTTCATTTTCTAACATGTTATCTTCAGGATTTACACATTACAATAATTCCTTGCATAGTGGCAATGATAAGATTTAGTTTCATTAATTTAAATATTTTTATTTCTTTAACAGTTACTTTTCAATATTGACTAATAAAGGTAATCACTCAAGGCTCATTAACTTATGTACCTAAAATTATAGGAAATCACGTTACACATACCCACAGTACACTTGAAGAGTCTCACTGTGGTTCAGGATTTGTTAGCCTCTGTGGTGTTACATCAAGTTTACCTATAGCTGTATTGCATTTGGTCGTAGGAGAACAGTAACTAAATTGTCTTCTGATCAGCCAGTGACATCAGAAGGACATACAGTAAGATGATAAAGTATGTTTTATATGTTCTTTACATTTTTACTTTTATACTTTCTACTTTTTTTTTTTTCTTTTCAGTACCAGGGATCAAACTCAGAACCTTGCACTTGCAAGGCAGGTGCAGTGCCACTGAGCTAAATCCCTGGCCCCCACCTTCTACTTTTTTTCACCTTTAACTGAAAGGTTTTGAAACAAATATTTGAAAAGCAGGTATCCATATAGCACTTTCTTGACTAGTTTTGCACACTTGAAAATTGTTTACTAGCTGTACATTTCCTTTAAATTTTAATTGACCCTTGGCATTGTTGTTTCTCATATTCTGACATGTCAAATTTATGCCTTGAAAAGCATCATCTCCTTTATTGTGAGTTTCATTTGTTCAATTTATTGGATTTCCATATTAAAACATAGGTAATTGTTCGATTTTAACTTTTTAAATTACCTTTACAAATGAGTTATTTTAAACATTAACCAGTTTTCCACATTTAGCTGTATAGTGTAGTTAAATTTAGCATATTTTATCAACACCAATTACAATTGTAAAAATGGTATAGCTTTTGTGGAACAGAATCAGAGTCCAGTATAGCAGTTAGGTCTCTTTTTATTCATACAATTATCTGACAGTCAATCCATTCACAGGTTTGGCATTGATATGTGCTGCTGGTTTATAAATCTGGCATTGACTAAAATCATTTGAATCTGTTTCTGGCTGAGATAACTTCCTGGATATGAGTGCCAATGCAAAATATAGACATCATTAATCTTACAAATCAGAAGCTATTAGAAAAATAATCATTTTTAATTCAAGAAATTTGGAGATCTTGACCTATGAGGCTTTTTTTAGGTTATACCAATAATTACACATTATGAACCCTAAATCATTATATTTTGGGTGATGATTTTTTGTGATCAGAAATCAAATTTCTACTTACTGTGCTTGTTCAGGTAATTTACTTTGACCAGTCTACTTGTTTGCCCAAAAGAGAGCATAATGAGAGAGATGGGTGAGATCTTTGAATTTTCTATCTTTTAAGAAAAATAAGCCAACTGGTAATGTTTATTCCTCAGAGTATTGGCTGAGAACAGAATGTTTACTCAGAAGCACATTAGTATAATTCATACCTTGCCTCTTGATACTAGTCTTAATTTTTTTAGGCATCTCACATTCTTTTGTTTTGTTTACTGAGATAGGATCTTGCTATGCAGGTCAGGCTGCCCTCAAACTCATAGTGATCCTCCTGCCTCAGCCTCCCAAGTGCTGGGATTACTACTTAACTAATTTTTAGCCTCTTCATTTCTAGAAGGGCTCTCTAGTTTTGTTCTAAATTCCTATGAATGCAAAGTGTTCGGAAGCAAATTTTATTTATATTGCCTGGTGCTAGACTTGGATATAAATGCTACGTCATGTTTCATTTTCCTACAGATATGCAGAGGCAGTGTTATCTCAGATTGCATGATCAGGTCATGTAAGTCACCTTGTATCAGATATGTTGTCTGTTGGCACCATTTTGCCTTTTTCACTTCTAGTTACTCCTTTGGGGCTAGGAATGTAACTCAGTGGTAGAGCATATGCTTAGCATGAGCAAGGCCCTGGGTTTAATCCCCAAGGTGCACACACATACTATCCAAGAATTATTTATCTTCAAGAAACAAAATGCTTTGTTACCAACATCACCACTTTCAAAGAAGCAGTGCAGATTCTTTAACATACTCCTGCCCTTCCATCCTTCTGATGTTTCTGCTGTTGAAATCCTTATACATAATTGATACCATTGTGTTCTCTCACATTCTGCCTCTTGTTTTACATTTCTTAAATTTTGGTATTGTCCCCTTATTTACTGTGTTTTAGCATGGCCTTCTCTATGTGTAAAAAGCTTATACATTTGTGTTTCTTTTAAGGTGGAATAGGTCTGTTTTGTTTCTCTGAATTTAAGTCTACTGATTTTAAAAGATGTACATTTACCATAGACCAGAGTGCCTTGCTTTCTCCACTGCCAGTTGGGGTCTGAGCCTTAGACACACAGGCTGTTTGACTTAGAGCACTATTATGGTAGCTGTTGGAACTTACCCAGAAATTGTAGCTGGTATTTTTTTAGCTGTACATTCATTCAACTTGTTCACCAGTACTTAACCAGTAGTTAATAGTACTTAACTATTTTCCAAAGGTTTATTTTTACTCTATTATTATACTCTATTACTGTATATTTTCTATGGTATAAAAAAGAGCTGGCTATAGGTCTATTGCTAAGTAATTAATTATGCAAACCCACCTAGGTCTATATACGATCCCTTCCTCACACCTCTTTGTATATATGTGTATTTGGCTAAAAAATGATACTGCCACCATTACTAATTATAAATACTTGACTACACTGATTGATTAAAGTGTTTTCAGGGATCTTTTATCCATGTGTCATCACCAAAGATTTCTGCAGTGTTATAAAGTGTGTAAATTTCTGTAAAGCATGGGTTAGATAAATGTGTTTTCTTTCTTTCTTGAAATAACATATAGTTTGTACTTTGGGAAAATGCTTGAACTTTTATGTTGTTATATAATACTATTCTATAGGTAATTTTTATGTTTTAATTGGAATGGGCTAAATTTTCATTTAATACCTTTTATCAGAAAAAGTCATTATATATTTAAAAGCAATTTCCTATGTTTTCTCCTGTGTAAGTTTGATTTGTGAAACACGTAAATTTTGAGACCATTTTTATTGTGATATGCTGTATGCAGTTCTTAGAAAATATCGTCTAAGATTACAATTTTCTGAAAAGAGAATAGAATGTTTTCTCTTAAATGTTTTTAATGTTTAGTCTTTTAGTAGTATTTGAAGATTTAATGTGTATTAACCTTATTTAAACATTGACCAGTGGCTTAATATTTTCTCTTTTTAACATCTTTTAAATCTATGTACTTTAATAACTAAGAGAAGCCAGGCGTGGTGGCGCACACCTGTAATCCCAGCACTCGGGAGGCAGAGGCAGGAGGATCACTGAGTTCGAGACCAGTCTGGGCTACATAGTGAGTTCCAGGTCAGTCTCAGCTACATATTGAGACCCTGTCTCCAATAGATAAATAAATAAATAAATAAAT